TATCGAACGGCTGTAAACAGGCGAGTGTAGGAAAGAGAGTATATACAGCCTATAAATGTCGGAGTAGGAACTTAGCCTATCTGGGAATAGGATGCAGAAATGTCTCTGACATTGATTTGGCGCCAAATACAAGATTCATCATACACTACAATTTACTATAGGAAAAAGGACAACACTCTTTTTTTTTTTTTTTTCCTTTTTCTTTCCCTCTTTTCATTTTAAATTTCCTTAGATCTGAAATTGCTAGATGATTTCACTATTGGATTTGTATCGTAATTTATCCTTCCTCTTCACTATTGGATTTGTATCGTAATTTATCCTTCCTCTTTTTTTAAAAAAAAACTACAAAAGCAAATAATTTACTCATGCAAAATATTTCTTACGTTCCAAGATAATAGTTAGCTCTATTAAATTAAAATCATTGAACACACTGGCAGATTCAGAATTTTTATAATAGGGGGTGCGAAATATAATCAAGAAATCAAGTATAGAAAAATGTATTAAAAAAAAACTCAGTCAAGAATCTATAAAAAATTATTTAGAACCGTTTCATTACTTTATGCATTTTTTGCACCTAGAAGCTATATTACTTTTTAAAGTGTATTTTTTGGGGGCAATTTTAGAACAGAAAATTTATAAATTTGACAATTTTCTTTTGTAAACATAAAAAAATCCTAGTTCCCTGTATGACATTAAAACCACTGCGTTTCGAGAAAAAAAAAAACCCACCACAACTAATATATATATATATATATATATATATAGTATAATTAACTTGAATTGACATCAAAATGTGTATTCTGGCTGAAGATGCCATCATTTTACATGTTTTATTTTTTAAATTAAGTGTTCAACTTATAAATTAATTTATTTTGGCCTCTCAATTTTATGTCAATTTGGTTCTTGACTTCAATATCAAATATTATTATGTTTGATTTCGGCCTTGACTTGGAATATATCATCATTATTATTTAGGAAATATGACATAATATATATTTTTTGTAAGATTTTATTTTTTTTTCTAAAGATGTATATACATAGAGTATAATAAAAAAATATAATTAGGGAGCAATAAAGAAAAAAAATTAAAAATTGTCAAATTAACATTTTCAAAAATTTATAACAAAAGAAGAAAATAACATAGAAAATAAAGAAAAGATAAAAAAAAAAGAAATGTACAACCAAATGATAATTGAGGGGCAAAACGTTATTAATCCTAATTACAAGGAGCAAAAAGATAAAGATAATAAATAATTATTATCAGAAAATTGTTGACTAACAAATGACTAACTCAAGCACCGTTAATAAGTGTAGTGACCTTCTTAGAAATAATGACCAAATCACGGACTTTCACATAATTTAGTGACCTTCGGGGTAGTTCACTCAAAAAAGAAAGATAATGCAAGTTTAAAATTTTTAAAAATAGAGTGAACTCCATCTAGTCCTTATTATAAGTCATATGATTTTGCCTAAAGTTCCATTTAGTAAGTTCTTTCAATTGGAAATACCCTAAAAATATTTTATAATAATTAGAAGAACGTAATAAATGTGAAAATAATTTTTTAAAATTTTATTTTCAATTAAAATAATATATTAAATAAAATTTATGGCAAATCAAAAAGTCTTATACTAAGAACTGGAGGGAGTATATGTTACAGTATTTGAGCATACCGTAAATGAAATTAGGACAAACTAAAATGTATTTTTAAGGTTTAATTTTCAATTGGAAGACCATACTCTACGAAATTTAGAACTAATCAAAATGTTTTATAATAAGAATCGGAGAGTATACGTTCCGAGCAATGCTTGGGCATCAAACTGCAGTAGAACTTTTATAAATTAATAGTGTTGGCACCACCAAAATTTATTAATTTAGCGAATTATTAAATAATCGATAAATTAATAAATTATTAATTTAAAGAATTTGTACGAGAAAAAAAGAGAATCGCCACAACATTTGAATCAATCAAGTATTAAAACTATTATGAACACTAAAATTCATACATAGTTCATATCATCTCCATAGACTAAAAAACAGATATTAACAGTTCATATTTTACTTAATACGTATAGGAATTATTTTTTTTGTTGTTGTTAGGGTATCTATTAATTTATAATATTATTGGAATATATATATATATATATATGAGATTTTCTGAAATATTATTATCTTATCATTATATCGATTTTTTTCACCTTTTGTACTGGTCCCAAGTTAGGACTGAAGAAAATTATTAATTGCTAGAAATTATTAATCTATAGATTATTAACTTATTGACGCTCTACTGTAGTAATAAAGTAACATAATGCTATGTGATTAGTTTCTTTAGAAATACGCTTGATTCTTGAAAGGATTAGCCAAGAATGATCATAGATTCCAAAAAGCATTCTGCTAAACTTCAGAGTAAAATAACATGTGCTAATGGAAAAACATTGAAAAGTTAAAACCCTAAAATAGACAAAAACCAATTTCAAAAAGACTTATCACATCCTTGCCTTTTTATGTAAAATGATAGAGAAAAGATAACTACTTAATTGGAAGAAGTGGTACCACATTAATTATTTTTGGGCATCTACTACCAATTTGAAGAAACTGTAATCCAAAATTGAGATGATCAAGTCAAAACATTTGGGGGAATTAATGTTGACTTCTGGCCTCTGGGGCACATTTTTCTAGCAAACAACAATCTCGCATGAAGCGTATTTTTTCTTACGATTTGCTAAATTTAGCAACTAAAATGAAAAAAACGGTTCTTATTATAATAACATTTTTACGCCATAAAAAATGAAAAATAAATTTAATCCTTTCTTTCTGGCTAGCAAAAAATTCGATTTCATAAATACCCCATGCTCCAAAAGGAGTTTATTATGTCTATATATATATCAATCAATCAATTTGCGGCTTTAAAATATGGCATTGCCGGAAAAGAAAGTCACATTTCTTAGACACTTTTATTTATTATTATTATTATTATTATTATTATTTCCATTTGAAAAACATTTACTGTCAAAACTCAAAAACAGTAACTATTCCCTTGCAACATTGACAGTCAGAAACCATCTTTCCCTCGCAATTTTTGAAATAGTCAATTTATTAGTTTCTCATGAATCATTGAAAAATATTGGTCAAATCTCTCATATATTTTGAGTTTCGATCCACTAATTCACATCTTTTATATACTCCATCAAATAATTATTTACAGCAAATATTGTTCTAATTACAAGGATCATTAATCATTAATCATTATCCTCTAGTCTATCATTATTTACTGCTTCTTCCTTCATAATTACTGGAAAACTACAACAAAGTATACTCTTAAAATAAAACGGAAAGTACATCATCACAAGGTCATTTTCATTACCACAGTTAAAAAAGAGGAAAAAAATGAGGTGACCTCATCGAGTTAACCTACTCCCTTTCTTCCCCAGTCCTCTCTTTCTTTTTCATCGTTGGATATTAGCTGTCAATTATGAATTATGAGTACCTTTTTTTCCTCTTTTTTTTTTATTGAATTATTATATTTTCCCCAATTAAATCATCTCCTCAAATTTTCCTATATAAAACCCCTTTCAAAAACCTCTCCTCTTCCCCCCTTCCTTCCACACTTGACACTCTCTGCTTCTTCTTGCTTCCTACTTAATTCACAGTTTCTCCCTTTTGATCTGAACTAACAAACCCTTTTGGGCATTTTGAGTTACTGTTTTAGCCATTGGAAAAAATTGTTGCTTTGGTAGTTCCCTTGCAAAAATTCCTAAGAAATTATGATGATCGACTGATTTTAAGAAAAACAGAGTAAAGTGTAGAGTGCTCTGGTGAATGCACACTTTCCATTGAAGTGTGAAAAAAAAGGCTATAAAGGGAGAGATAGTTTTTCATTGATGCTATCTTGATCCTGTGGACTGTTTGGTACATATCCCGAGGACACTTTGAAGGGAGAAAAAGCAGGGACGCGGTATTATCTGAGAAGGGAAAAAGGAAGGGAAGAATTTTGATTAGGGAAAAGGAAGGGAAGAAGAAACCCCCCAAAAAAAAAGGTTGATTTCTGTCCTTTGGCTTTGGGTTCGGTGAAATTGTGAGGTGGGTTTTGGAGATTTTGCTGCAAAACAGAGGTTTTTTTTGACTGCCATTGTTGTCCTGAGCTTGTTATCAAGGTGAATTTTTCTGCCATTTATTAAATAAAAAAAGAAAGAAAGTTATATTGTTTGCTTCTATGAGTTTCTCTTATCGAAAGTTTGTTTTTTGATCATTCATTCTCAAGTTACGTACGAGTTTGGATATATCATCTGGGTTCTTATGGTCGGACTTTAATAGTATTATAAGCTCTTCATTTATATGCCCATTGTAAGTAAGATCGGTGAGTGAATTTATATGCTGATTTGTGTTTTGAAGAGCTTCTTTAGTTCATTTGAGGGCTTTTGAGTTGCTTCTAGAGTTGAATTATGTTGAAGTCAGACTTCTTTGTTTAATGGAATGCTTAGATTAAGAAGTAAGAACGAAGAAGTTATCTACTACTTCACTAAAGGAATATTAGAAGATTGTACGCGGAAATGGTTTCATTATGAAGTCCAAGAGATTTCAACATTTATTTATTATTGCTTAATTTGGACCCACCAGTATTCTATATTCTTTTAATCAATTATCGTTGAGCATATTCAGTGGTGTGAATCCAAAGGAATTGTTGAAGAATCTATCTATAGTTTCATTTTCTTTTCTTTTTTTTTTTTCTTTCTAAAATATGTTTTGTGCTGATCTTTCTGCTTGCACTGTATAAACTCATCTGGCATGGTAGATAAGTTTGCTTGTAAGATATATGTTTCTTGGTCTTTCTGAATTTGATATGCTATCCAGAAGATGCATGCTGATAGATAGAGGTTCTAATTCAATAGATAGAGGTTATTGTTCATCATTGAGGAAAGGGGTAGGTAACCATTTTTGTTTAGGTGCTTGGATTTGACTGTTTCACAATTCTAAACTGCAGCCCATCCAAGAGAATCTAATCTAGGTATATGTTCAGTTGTTCATGGTCCAGAAGGAGTTTTAAATAAATAGTAGTATAAAGATTATGTTCTTGTCATATTAGGCCTTACTTTATTCAGCTTGGTTGGTCATTAATTACGCCTATTATTAGTTTATCTGTCAGACGTAGTGTCCGTTTGTGAACTTACATTCCCATGTAATCTTCTGGATAAAATAAACTTGATGGAAAAATTTGTTCTTACGTTTGTTGATTTTGTTTTTCTTTTGGCCAGAAATGATTCTTTGACCAAACTACTGTCTGCTTGGTTTGTTTTGTTGCAGTTGATGGTTGCTTACTTTGTACTATGTTGTGTCATGAGATATTATTGAATTTGATCACACAACTGTCATTGAGATTGCATTATACTCTTTTGATTTTAGGAAAATAATTTACTTTGTTGAACTAAATAAGTATTGTTGTATTGTGCACTTTGTTGTTTAAAGTCTTTGAGATCTTGTCAAAATTTTCAACACGTTCATTTATGAAAGATAAGTCTTACTGTTTACTTTTGACAAAATGCAACCTTCCACATCCGCGTTTAATTCTTTGAAGGTGCACAATGTCTTCCTTCTCAGTTTTATCCTCTTTGTAATCTCTGACCATATATTAGACAAGCTACTAAAGTGAAAAAAAAATAAAAATTTGCTCAGTCATGTTAATTAATCTTGTAAGCTGTATCATCTCAGATAAAAGCTCCAAAAGCCACCCCAATTTTGTTTGAAAAGTTTTTTTCTTCTCAATCTCAAACTTCTGTTTGGCATTTTACTACTGGTGAGGTACATCTAAAACATGATTGATTAGCTAATGATTAATAGTGCCCGGAGAACCAGCTGGTCTTGCAGTTTATGTCATTGTCAATCTATCTCCTGGTTATCTGCAACAGGCTTGTAGTGGTTGAAGAATTTGCTGGCATGTAGGCCTTTCATGCTATTATTATAAGAATGTCTTTTTTGGACCTGTTTCACATTGTATGATGAGAACTGAATAATCATGAGTACAGAACACTCGTAATATTAAATAATTATCATTTTTTTTTTTTAGTTTCTTGGACATTCGGTGAGACGGAAATACTGTAGTTTTTTTTCATGTCTTACTACGTGTGCTAATTCTCTTTTGCTGTTTTGTGCTATAGGGAATAAAAGTGATTGTTGGAATGATGATGCAACAGAAGCGATGTCCGATCTCTTTTGACCAAACCAGTCTTACATCTTTAAGACCAAAGCGACACAAGGCCGAGATATCTGTTGTTTCCAAGGTTTCTTTCATTTTCCTATTTATCCCTGCTTCTACTGTTGATTGTTCTATCTTTTCCTCTCCCTGTAGTAAAATATCATTTGCCTACCTATGTACGTAAAGATCTGTCTTAGTATGCTTGAATACATGCCTTTTCTAGTCACATTTAACTTAAGGTGGTGGAAAATGTAGTCCTTGCTGACTTTCTTTAACACACATGCCTTAATGATAGTTGTAATTTGTTGTTCTAAAATAGAAAGAGAAGGTTGGGGAACGAATCACCGCACTTCAGCAACTGGTCTCGCCATTTGGGAAGGTATGAATACTTTGACGTGATAATAGCATTCCATTAGGATAATTTGCCAGTATATCTAGATAAGGAAAATAATTGCTTAGAAAAGTTCGCTTTGCGTGCTCAATTGTTAATTTACGAAGGTGTGCATGCAGCTAAACATGTCCATGAAAGTATTTGCATCCCCCCATTGTTTTTTTTCCTTCTTTTTTCCCTTAATGGTCGAGTGTAATCTGTGGCCTGTTTCATTACTCTGCACTCTGCAGACAGACACAGCCTCTGTCCTCCTAGAAGCAATGGAGTACATCAGGTTTCTCCAAGAACAGGTTAAGGTATGGTCTTTTCCCTGGTTATTTTACTACTTCAGGTGGCTGCTTTGATTCTTAATGTCTGGAATACAAAGGCGCTAATGTTGGTACATGTACTAGAGTAAAAGATGTGCCTTCAGTGTACGTGAGGAACGTCTTTGTGTTCTTCAGCTTAATAAAGTGTCTCAGAGTTTTTTCTCTTATGAGTGCATCACAATCTCAAATGTTTCAGCTCCCCTTTTCACAGTTATATTATTTTTTGTGGGATGATAAAAGTGTGTTTTGAGTCCTTTACATAATCTGATTTTCATTTTGTCACATTCCACATATCATTTATTAGCTCTTGGAGCGGCTTGGGATTTTGGGTGTTTAGTCCCCTTTGGATTGTTTAGGTTATGGTTCATAGTCACATTCTTGATGAATTACTTAGGTAGCCTACATTATAAGATTGCCTGCACTTTGAAAATAATTTCTTACTTATTGCTTTTGTCTGTTGCTTTCAGGTGTTGAGTGCTCCATATCTCTGCAATACAACTTCTACTACAGAGGTGAGTGTATATGGACCAAACATGTTAGCCTTTGATCATTATAAATTATACGCGATCCTTTCTCGTATAATTTAACCTTGAAATCTTGTTCCGGGGATTGTCCTGGAAGGCGATCTTACCGAATTCTACCGAGATGCTCATTAAGAGTCAGGTTTTCTTTAGTATAGAAGGTTCACCTAAAAGTCCCTTCGTTTGTAGGACAGAGTGAAGTAGAAGATTCTTTTGTTATGTTATGTATTTAGCGATAAATGATGGTCCCTTCATGAATACAACACTCGAGTTTGTCAAAACTATCCTGTGTCAAAACTATCCTGTATCACTCAAGTTTGTGCATCTCTTTGAACTTTTTCTTGTCCAGGACCTAGAGCCATACAGCCTTAGAAAGAAGGGATTATGCCTTGTTCCACTATCAAGTACTGTTGGGGTTGCTAGCAGTAATGGTGCAGATATCTGGGCGCCGATCAAGACGACTTCCCAGAAATTCTACGATCAATAAATGCTAAAAGAAAAAGTCGGTGCAGTTGGAATCAGGGTTTGAAATCGAATAAGAAGCCATGGAGGCATAGAGGGTGGGAACCAGTTCAAGTTTTAAGGCAGGACACAATTTTGTCATGCAAGTAGAGAACCTTGGGTTCTATATATGTACTAGTTTGTCTAGGCTGAAGAAATTGATGAAGGAATCATTAATTTATGTGATAATAGCTGCTAGCCAGTATGTAAATTTGATGTTAACATTGTGTTAGGCCATGAACTGGAGATTATTAATGATGGTACTAATTTGTTTATGAAGTGCTAAATTCACCTCCCTTCGTTTCTTTTCTTTTCCTTTTTCCCTTTGTTCTTGTCTAGAGTTAGTTGCAATGTCTTAAATTAAACTAAAAGAAAAGGAAACCAAATTTTCAAGTCCATACAAGAGTAAACTTGGAAACATGTACCAAATTTTGATCGAGGTTGAACACGAAGGAAAACCCAATCAGTTTGAAGCCTATATTTCCATAGTCCAGTTACTGCTCATCAGTTCTCTATGCAGATTTTGCAGCAGAGTGGCTGCACCAGAGTAACTCAATGATCTGCAAAGTCCGGATCTCTGTGAAACTGGATGGACCTCATCAAGTTTTTTACCTCCAAGCAAAACCAGCCCCTCAAAGCAGGGGGAAAATGATCACTAGATAACAATGCCAAGTGCAAAGTCCAAACTGTCTTAACATGTCAGGTTATAGAAAACTCTCCTTGAGTTCACCTGCCATGAGACCTTTTTTTTTTTTGCAATTTGAGAACCTTGTAGAGTTGCCATATTCATGATATTCTTCTGAAAGCTAAACTTACATGGAAAAGGAATCCTACCCTAGAAACAGGGTCCAAATGACTCGCGCCGCAAGAAACAGTTTGCAATTCCTTGAGGTATCCCAATGTTCAAGGAAGATGCATCTTAATTTTTTCAGTTCAACCAGATTCTCTAAGACTTCTCAGGTGTTTTTTTTTTTTTTTTTTTTTTTGTGTTTACAATAAAAGGCACAAAGCTTAAGATCGACTTCTTACATTACGAGGATATGCCACCCCGATAACATCGTGTTCTAACCACGGCTTCGCCCTAAATGGAGGGCTTCTCAGTGTATTGAATTTACTAACCAACTCCATAGACTCATTGCCTGGTAAATTGAATGTTGCTGGCGAATGTAAGCTCACATGGCTTGACGAGTCCATATACACCACTTGTCTTGGACCGGCCCATTCACCGAGTGCGGAGTCCAACCGACTCTGTAGAGGCGATGCAAGAGTACTAAACCTAGTAAGATTCGTATATCTCCTAGGTCTATAAATAGGGATGATTACTCCATAATTGAGGTACGCTATCTCTAGCACTAATTCGCATACACATACTTCTTCATAATCCTATGTTTTGACTTAAGCATCGGAGTGTCTACCCTCGGGGGATCCCCGAGGCTTTGTTTTACAGGTAACCCTAATCGGAGTTCCACGGCTAAGCCAGGAGTGCAATTCCAGGCTTCATCAAGTGGCACGCCTAGTAGGACCCGGAAATTAGAGTTTGTGTCACCAAGCTTTTTCAGGCTTTCGAGACTTTTCTCAACCTTTGATCACCGCTGCCAGCTAGGGTTCTCTGGTAAATAGGATGGCCGTGATGACATACCTCAATCCAGCACAGTGTCAACAGAAAGACGGCCAAACCCTGATGACAACGAAACCCTAGTAAAATTCCGAGAGAGGCAGAAGCGAAAGAGGAACGATCGTCGGTCGAGGAAAGAAAAAACTCCCACAAGACCATCTAGTCCCGGAGGTGAAAGGGAGGAAGTTCCGAAAAGTCATCGCAAGGGTCCCGATCCACATGATGACGAACGGTTGGCCGAAATTGAAGTGGAACTCAAAAAGTTGAGAGATGATAACAACCTCAATCAGACTTTTCTCAACCTTTGATCACCGCTGCCAGCTAGGGTTCTCTGGTAAATAGGATGACCATGATCGACATACCTCAATCCAGCATAGCGTTAATAGACAGGCGGCCAAACCTTGATGACAACGAAACCCTAGTAAAATTCTGAGAGAGGCAGAAGCGAAAGAGGAACGATCGTCGGTCGAGGAAAGAAAAAATTCCCACAAGACCATCTATTCCCGGAGGTGAAAGGGAGGAAGATCCGAAAAGTCATCGCAAGGGTCCCGATCCATATGATGACGAACGGTTGGCCGAAATTGAAGCGGAACTCAAAAAGTTGAGAGATGATAACAACCTCAATCAGAGGAAGAAAAAATAAATATTGGATGAATACAAACGTTGTTGTTTGTTGGGATCTGCCCGATCCTACGGATCAGGAGCTATATGACCTGATTGACGAGAAGGAAGCACTCAAGACGCTGACTTTGCTCGAAAAGAAAAAAGGCAAACGCAAAGTTCCAGGTGAAGGAGAGGTAGCAGGTCACAGAGAAGCCTCCAGGCATGAGACTTCCCAAGTAGAGTTTTCTGCCACCCCTGGTGCAACCTTCTGGGACTCATTCGGAAGAACATATCCAGCATTCTACACAGCACTTGAAAAATTCGCGAAAGAGCATCGGTGCAAGAAGCAATCTCGCGACCAACACCGCCAAGGTTCACCTAGAGTCGAGTTGTTGTCTGAAAGGAATTGTGATCGTCCACTGAGAGGCAGTGTGTACTCCCGCTTAGGACCCACAGCTTCCCTGGAAAGGTCCTATCGCGATCACCATGACACCTATCGAGACACAAGATATCCTCAGTACGGTCGATATCATTATGATGATTCGCAACTGGAAGAACCCTGGATCCCTCGACAAAAAGAGAACCATGGCCACCAAAATGCCTCCATTCGCGAATCAATGCGGAGAATAATAGGAATGATCGTCGATAAATACCCTTTCATTCCAAGGATCCGTGACTGTCCAAAGCCTCGTGACTTCGACTTCCCCAAAGAATTTGTCAAATACTCGGGAGATTCTGACCTGCATCAATTTTTGCACGGATATGTCCAAGTCATGAGGCTCAGAAATGCATCACTCGATTTCATGGCCAAGACCTTTCCATCTTATCTCACCGGACAAGCGCAACGCTGGTTCGGACAATTGCCATAAGGAAGTATTGTCAGCTTCGAGGATTTATCTGTCAAACTGGCTACTCGGTTCTTCCCCAGCAAACAGATTACCAAGATGTCAATCGACCTTTCCTCGATCAAGCAAGGACAAAACGAGAGTCTATCTGATTTTCATCGTCGCTTCATCTGGGAGACTCTTCAAGTAGATTATCTCGACGATAGAGACGTCCAGAACGGGTTCATTCAGGGCCTCAACCCATTTAGAAAGTCTGCTATCTTGAGGGTGAAATTGTCAACCAAAGCCCCTCGAAATACACAGGAAATGTGGGCCACAGTTGAAAGCTACATTCAGCGAGAACAGACGCTCAAGCGCTCACAAGAGTCCTTCTCGATCGAGGTGGAAGGGATAGGTTCAAATCTACAATGGAGACTAAGCCGGCTTTCCCTAAACTCGATAGACAGCTGACTCCATTACTAAAGCCCCGATGAGAAATACTCCAAATCCACAAGGATGAGTTCCCTGTTCCAAAACCCCTGGCTCACAACCCAAATATGTCCATGGATCAATACTGTGAATATCACAAGGACCACGGCCATGACACTGAAGATTGTAGGGAACTCAAGCGTGAAATCAAAGTCGGGGTGAAATCTGGAAAATTCCAATAATATGTGCAGAATGCTCATCGACAAAAGGGAGAAAATTTCGCGGGACCCCGTAACTTCCCTAAGAAGAACTCACGTGACCCTCGAGTGGATAACCGAGGGAATAATTGGACACCAAGGAACAATGTGCAGCAATCTGCTTAGTGGCCTCTCGACGACGGCCCTCAGCCAATCCAATAAGTCCCTCCACCTGATCCTGTTAAGCAAATTACTCACAATGTGGGGGTAGTCTACGGTGCACCACTCGAGGTTCTTTCTACAACAGCTATGAAGGCATCAGTTTGAGAGGTAACCAAAACGTCTCCACAAGAGCCTAGCCATAAACGGTTCAAGGGAACCGAGGCAATAGTTTTACGGATAGTGACGTGATCCCAGGCATCTGTCCACACCGCGACGCCATGGTTATCAAAGCCATTATAGGAAACATTTGCGTGAGCCGAGTATACGTTGATAACGGCAGCGCAGTCGATATCATCTATAGCGACTGTTTCAAGAAGATGAACATACAAAATCCTGATTGGCGTCCGGCAACGTTACCACTAATGGGCTTCTCTGGGCACACGATTATCCCCAGCAGAATCGTAAGACCTCCAATCATGGTAGGGTTGCATCCTCGAATGGTAACCTTAACCATGGATTTTGCCATAATTGATGCACCTTCGCCGTTTAACGTGATTTTAGGACGGCCATGGATGTGCCAAGCTCGCACTTTTTGGTCCCCTTACCACTTGGTAATGAAAAATTCCCAACGGAGTATGGGATAGAGATAGTGCAAGTGTGCCAATGCAGTTCTCGAGAATGCCTCCTCACGGCAGTGAAAACAGGGAAAAAATAGTGAGTGACCACTGCCACATCGGGATGTTACTCAGTCCAGCAAGGGGCATATCAATTGAGGACATAAGGGAAGAACAACCCTTAGATCTCAACCACCCGAATCAACCGCCACTCAGCAGCAAAATAAAGGAATTAATTTTGGATGAGAAAGAACCAGAAAAGACAATCCAACTGGGAGTGTCTATAAGCAGAACTTTGCGAGCTGAGGTAGTCGCCTTGCTACACTAGTTCCGAGACATATTTGCATGGGCTCCCTCTGATATGACCGGGGTCCCAAGACAAATTATCGAGCACAAGTTAAATGTGGATCCCAATGTGAAGGCAATACAACAGAAGATGAGAATCTTTGCTCGAGACCACAATGACGTCATCAACGAGAAAACGCTCAAGCTAGTTCGTGCCAATATCCTCCGAGAAGTCCTCTGGCCAACATCATTGGCCAACCTGGTCCTCGTCTGTTGGCGCATGTGTCAAGACTACATTGATCTCAACAAGCATTTCCACAAGGATTGCTACCCTTTACCGTTCATCGATCAAATGGTCGAGGGGATTACCGGGTTTAGAACTCTCAGCTTCCTAGATGCCTACAAGGGGTATCACCATATTCTTATGGCCCAAGAAGATGCTGAAAAAATGGCCTACATCACTGAGATTGGAGTATATTGCTACGATGAAATGATGTTTGGATTAAAGAATGCCAGAACTACCTACCAGCGCCTGGTCAACAGAGCCTTCCATGACCAAATTGGGCG